ATTGTTTACCAGGGTTTTCTTCTTTTTCCAATTAGTGGAGAGAGAGAAAATCCTTGTTAATTGAAAAAAATAAATTAAAATAATTTTTAAACAAACAAAACAAAATGAAGATTCAGATTTGACCCTCGGGTCTGTGAGATTACTTCTCACTTTGATTCTGTGGAATTTAGGGTGAAGAGGAGCTTAATTTTAACACTCTGTACGCATAGTTTTGTTTTAATATTTTGTGCCCAGCATGATCCGGTGTTGTGCTTTAGTGACAAAATTTTTTTCTTGGAACTAGTCTTGTACGTGCAAACATCAAATGATAAGGAATTGGACCCCTAATCTGTGGCATTGCTTCCTTGGGACAGAAAATGAGATCCAGTATTACGTTCCTGATAAGAGACTCATTAAACTGCAGCTAACCCTTACTCAGACAAGTGGACTCCTAGATCAGATAGGCTGCTCGTTATTTATTAAATGACCAGGAAATCTTTAAAAGGTCATTGTGGGTTTCTGGATCATCCAACGGGAGGAACACTGATTAGAGTTAGGAGAACTGGTTTTTTGTCTTACCTTAAACAGTAATTTGATTCCTGACCTTTGAGGCAAATATTTTAACCTGTTTATTGTGTTTCATCGGTTGTCCTTTGGGAATGTTGTGAAGGTAACCTTTTCCTTCTTGGTAGATAAGATACTATATAAGCTCAAGGTGATCTTATAGTAATAATGAAAATAAATGCCATGGGGGGTGGGTTTTTTTTTTCAAATATTTTATTTTTTTCCCCACTTACATGTAAAAAAATTTTAACATTCATTTTTAAAATTTTTGAGTTCCAAATTCTCTCCCTCTCCTGTCCCCTCATTGAGAAGGCAGGCAATTTGATACAGGTTATACATGTGCAATCATGCAGAACATTTCCATATTAGTCATGTTATGAAAGAAAGTATAGACCCTCCCCCCCCCCCAAAAAAAAAGAAAAAGAAGAAAGTTTTTTTAAACACCTGTGTCAGCATCAGATCTTTCCTCTGGAGCTGGGTGGCATTTTCATCCTAAGTCCATCAGAATTATCTTAGATCATTGTATTGCTGAGAATAGCTAAGTCATTCACAGTTGATCTCCGTATGATACCATGTACTGTGTGCAGTGTTCTGGTTCAGCTCACTTTACTTTGCGTCAGTTCATGTGAGTCTTTCCAGATTTTCCTGAAAGCATCCTGCTCATCATTTCTTATAGCACAATAGTATTCCATCACAATCGTATACCACAACTTATTTAGCCATTCCCCAATTGATGGCTCTCCCCTCAGTTTCCAATTCTTTGCCACCACAAAAAGAGCTGCTATAAATATTTCTTATACAAATATATCCTTTTCCTTTTTCTTTGAGCTCTTTGAGGTACAGGCCTAGAAGTAGTATTGCTGGGTCAAAGGTTATACAGTTTTATAGCCTTTTGGGCATAGTTCCAATTGCTCTCCAGAATGGTTGGACTACTTCACAACTCTACCAACAATGCATTAGTGTCCCAATTTTCCCACATCCCCTCCCAACATTTGTCAAGTTCCTTTTCTGTCATTAACCAGTCCGATAGGTGTGAGGTAGTACCTTAGAGTTTAAGGCACTTCATGAGTACTCATAAGAAAATCCTATTTGGATTGTCAGGTATTAATAACAAATTCCTGAGATAGGACAGCAGAGTGACACTGTGGATAGAGGGCTGGGCTTGGAGTCAGGGAGATCTGAGTTTGAATCCAGCCTCAGAAATTTCCTAGCTGTGTAACCTTGGGCAAGTCACTTAACCTCAGTTTGCTACCGGGGAAGGAAATGGCAAACCACTCCAGTATCTTTGCCAAGAAAACCCCAAGGACACGGATTGATGAAATGACTGAACAGCCAGAAGATAAAATCTTGAAGACGCAGTTCTTTCTTTTCTTGAGGCTTGTGGAAAGGATGGAATGTGAAGTAAAAACCTCTTCATCAAATAGGTTAAGTATGCCTTCTTCCACGGCAGGGTTTGATCATGTCGTCATTGCCTCCATGCATCGTTAGCTCAATGGCTCAGTCGCTTTTGGATGTTCAAAAAGAGCAGTTTTAAGTTTTCTTCTGGCCAAGTTTGTGAGAAGACAGACAGATCTGCTTCCCCTTGCTGTTGTGCTTACGTGGCTATCAGTTACGTTGCCCCATAAGACCTGTGGGTTCACCTTTGTCAGACTGCTGGACTGTGACCCCTTCTCTCCTCTGACGCTGCCGCCACCCTGATGCAGGCCCTCAGCACCTCACGCCTTGATCAGTGCAGTAGCTGCTAGGGGGGCTGGCTGCCTCAGTTCTCTTCCCCGCTCCAGTCCATCCTTTATCCAGCCCCTAAAGTGGTTTTCCTAAAGCACAGGTCTGACCATGGCGTCCCCATCCTACACAGTAACCTCCAGGGGCTCCCTGTTGCCTCCAGGATCAAATGCAAAATGCTTTGTTTCGCTTCCAAGTTCTTCATAACGGAGTCCACTCCTACTCCTTACCTTTGCGGGCTTCTCCCATCTTACTCCCCAGCCTGTACTCTTCCATCTGGTGACACCAGCCTCCTGGGTGTTATCTCTTGGCTCTGGCCATTCTCTCTGGCTGTCCCCCATGCCTGAAAGGCCCTACTTCCCCAACGCTGCCTGCTCACTACCCTGGATTTCCAACTAAAATCCCATCTTTTACCAAAGCCTTCCCCAAACCCCCGTAATTCTAGTGCTTTCCCTCTGTTGATTATCCCCTATTTATCCTGTCAATAGCTTGTTTGTAAGTAGTAGTGTGCCTGCAGTATATCCCCCAAGCCGAATTAGACTATAAGCTCTTTGAGGGCAGCGACTGTCTTTTACCTCTTTTTGTAGCCTTAGTACTTAGAACTGTGCTTGGCGCATATACGCTTAATATATATGCTTAATAAATATTTATTGACTGACTGACTGACTGATTGTACAGCCATTCCCTGTAAAAGGTACACCAACCAGCATCATTTTCCTGTGCTATAATTAACATGTTAGAGCCAAAGCTTAGGATTCAGATAATTTTTTGTTGTGTAACAATGTCACTGTAGAACTCAGTGGCTGCTGTCCATCCGTTTTGCCTGACAGGCTTTCATGAAACCAGTAAAGAATATCAGCTGCGATGTGCCTGTGTAAAAATTGCTAATTTTGTGAGCTTTGAGTACAGTGTAGATAAGTGATACTGTTATACTTTAAGAAATGTGCTGATACCCAGTATTATCCACAAATACTGATTGTGAATGCGAGACACTTTCCGCCTTGAGACACTTAACTCCCTTTTTATCTTCAGACAATATAATCTGGGGCTTGGGGAGTGCATTTCCTACCCCCCTTAGCCATAACATGATGAGGGTACATCATGCAGAGTCCAGTCTGACAGTATTCTATTAAAGAAATTAGAGCACTGGCGTTGGAGTCAGGAGGACCTGAGTTCAAATGCGGCCTCAGACACATAACACTCACTAGCTGTGTGACTCTGGGCAAGTCACTTAATCCCAATTGCCTCACCAAAAAAGAAAAAGAAATTAAAAGTCTTCTTGAGCTGTGTGTATTATTTATTACACATGTAAAAGCCATTGGATTGCTATCTTTAAGGAGCCTCTTGACATTACTCTTTTTTTGAGATAATCAGGGTTAAGTGACCTGCCCAGGGTCGTGCAACTCATAAGTGTCTCAGGCTGGATTTGAACTCAGGTCTTCCTGACTCCAGGGCCCATACTCTATCCACTGTGCCACCTACCTGTCCCCTGACATCCTTTTCAATGGATTTTTTTTTCATCTATTAATTTAGTCAAGGTCAATTCTTTGGAATACCCTAGATCTGATTGGGAGCAGAAAAGCTTTTTTTTTCTTTTTTCTTTTTTTCATAGGATTAGGGAGACCTGATCATATTTGAAAGTGAGAGAAAGGAAGTGGGAAGAGCCAATGGAGAAAGAGATTGAAGGTCACTCAAAGAGATCAGTTGACTACTAGAAGAGAATCCTAGAGGAGGAGGCAGGAAAAAATTCAGCCTAAACCACACAGAGAGGGATTATCTTTAGTGAGGAATAACCATTGTTGGCAGCGTTACTGTTAGTAATGTTAATTGTTTTCCTAGTGTTGAACCACTCCTGAGAAAAATCCAGCCCACTCATTATGAATACTTTGGGGAATATATTGTTAGAGGTTTTTTGCTGAAATTTTATTTACACTGTTTTCATCAATATTCATTAGCCATATCAGTCTCTAGTTCTCTTTTAAGTACCCTCCCAAGAACATTTCTGTGTACTTAATAGAATAGAAAGAACAGATTCTCTGCTTATTTTTATAAAAATGTCTCATTCAATCTCCATTACTTTGAAAACTCTCTTGCTTGTCTAGGGTTGTTTCTTTTTGGCAATCACTTTTTTTTTCTTTTTTTGCTAGGCAGTGGGGTTAAGTGACTTTCCCAGGGCCACACAGCTAGTGCCAGGTATTTGAGGCCAGATTTGAACTCAGGTCCTCCTGGCTGCAGGGCCAGTGTTCTATCCACTATGCCACCTCGCTGCCCCAGCAATCACTCTTGCTAAACCTGCTTCACCTAGAACCTTTCCCCTCCTCTCCTCCTTCCCCCACACACCAGTTAACTAAGAAAAATCCAAAGTATCAGTAAGTAACCTCAGTCTAGGACATTGAGATTTGTTATACTCAGATGCATAGTTTAATGAGTTTGGAATAGAAAACCAGAACTGAAGAATATGGTGATTTGATGTGAAGGTTTTGAAAATCGATACTTTATCTTTCAAAATACTACACGAGACCATCATTTGGAGACTAGATGACTCAGTTCCATATGTGGCCTCATTTTAATGCCCCCTCCCCTTTTCAAAAGAAAAGCAGAATGTTTTAGTTACAAGGTTACAACCTCTATCTTTTCATAGTATAGCTGGGTATGTTCAGCCATATAATAGTACTGTTGAAGCTGTGACTTAATTTAGTGAATGAGTATTTCTATCTTGTGTGTTTGCCTTGCAGCTCTCATCAGTTTGTCCTTCGGGGGAGCAATTGGGCTCATGTTTCTGATGCTTGGATGCGCCCTTCCATTATACAAGTATGTATGAACATTTTCTTTTTGGTCATGTTGAAGGTTGTCTTTAAAAACAGTGTTTTAATGATCTCCAAACAGTCACTACCAAACCATTATATCCCCCCTCGGCATGGGGATCAGAGGCTCTGCTTTTCCATCCCAGCCTTTGTGCCGATCAGGATAACAATGGCTGTAAAAAGTTACCAAACCAAGTCAAGTCTTGCAATAACGTCCCAAGTCGCCGTGTCAGAGCGTTTGGAAGCCAAGTCTCCCAGCGGTCATCTTTTCCAACCCCTGCCAGACCAGGAATCTCTGTTGATAGAGACAGATAAACACAGTGTGCCAAGCACTGGGAGTACAGATACAAGCAGAGAGAATGTCTCTGTCTTCTTTCACAACATGACTTATGTGGAAATATGTTTAAAATGATTGTACAGATTGCAGGCCATCTTTGGGGGGTGGGGGGAATTTAGAGCTCAATATCTTATAAAGTAAATGTTGAAAACTAAAAATTAATTTAAAATTTCAATTAAAAAAAGGCATGTGTCTGCTCTCAAGGAGCTTACGTTCTAATGGAATGGGAGCTGAAATGAGAGTGGAGGAGAGTCGGTGCCTTCAGGGGTCAAGGTGCAAAGTCGTCTGGGGGGTCAGAAGGTGAGACAGGTTAGAGGTGAACTTGGCTGGTGTGGAAGAGGGAAGGAAACGCCTCCAGGGGAGGAGGTGAGCATAGGCAGGTGGAAAGGTAAGAGTTACAGCCCCAAGAGATGGTTATGCAGGCTTCACTCCAAGAACTAGAGTGAGGAGGAGCCCACCACCTCCTGAGATGCCTCCTAATGGGTCGCAGAGTTTTCTTCAACCTGCAGTCAGCCTCTGCGATTGCCGTCCAGTGCTCCTGGTTCTTCCCTCAAACACAAAACAGAATGAGCCTAGTCACTGACATGTGACATCCCTTTGCCAGAGGCTTGGAAGAGAGCTCCCAAGCTGCCATGGGCCCTCTGAGCCTTCTTCTCTGGGCCCAGCATCTCTGGTTTCTTAACCTATCCTGATTTGGGAAACTCTGATCCTCTCACCATCCTGGTAGACCCTTTCCTAATCGTGCGACCAGGGTGGAACACAGTATTCTAGGATGGCCTGACTAGGGCCAAGGGCAAAGAGAATTACCACCTGTGTCATTCTGGATGTGCTGTTTCCCATTGTGGCCAAAAATCACATCAGCTTGTGGCTAACATGTCACATTAAGCTTGTAATACACTAAAACCCCTAAATCTCTTTTCATACAAACGTACAGTTAACTTTTTGAATCCAAGCATAAGGCTTTACATTTATCCCCATTAAAAATACCTAAGTTGGGGGTAGCTAGGTGGCGCAGTGAATAGAGCTCTGGCCTTGGAGTCAGGAGGACCTGAGTTCATATCCAGCCTCAGACACTTGATGTTTACTAGCTGTGTGACCCTAGGCAAGTCACTTAAGCCGGACTGCCTCACCAAAAAGCAAAAGAAACAAAAACCTAAGTTGTATCTTTAATGAAGCACGTCAGTAAAGTTGCCCAGATTCTTTGAGATCCTGCCTCTCTTCTCCAGCACGTTAGCTCTCCCACTCAGCTTTGTGTCATAAGTAGATCTGACTAATATGCCAACTGTGCCTTTATGAAAACTATTGATAATAATAGTGAATAGAATAGGACCAAAGACAGATTTCTGGGGTACTTAAGAGTGAAATTCCTAGGTTGACCTTGACCCGGTCATCGCCACTCTTTGGGTCTACTCATTCACCCATTCTCAAAACCAGAAATGGGATGTTGACAAGTTTGGGTGTAAAAGGCCAAGGACTGGCCAAGATCTGGGGAGGATAGAGGGGTAGGAAAACCTGGAACCATTTTTCACCCCTAGCCTGTGTGACCCTTTTAGGACTGGCAAGACGTGATCTTTTTTAAAGGTAGTAGGGAAAGAGGCAGTGGAGACAGGAGATTACAGATTATTAAGAGACGTTTGGCTGGTAGAAGGTGGTCATTGTAGAGAGGAGGTAGGAGAGCATGCCGTCTGAGGCCCAAGTGAGAGATTATCGTTGGTAGGGAGAGGAGCGGGTGAGGAGGGATGCTGGGGAGCCTTGAGATGAGGGGCCACAAGTAGGAAACGGAGGGAGTTTGTCAGAGGACCTCCAGGGAAAAGAAAATGGAGTCACTTGCTCTAGGAGAATTAGCTGAAGAAAGCGGGGACATTTGACCTGGAGAAAAGAAGATTTCAGGGGGCCATGAGAGCTGGCCTTGAGCATGTGTGACTGCCACATGGAAGCGGGATCCGGCTGGTTCTGCTTGTATCGAGAGGGCAGAACCAGGAGATACGGGGGGGAAGTTGTGAGAAGACTGAACTAGGCCCGATGTCAGGAAGAAGTCACAAGGGGATGGGCTCCTGCAGAAGAGAGAGGATTCACCCTCTTTGGGCACCTGCAGCCCAAGGCTGCTCAGTGACTGGTAGGGTGTGGTGGAGAGGATTCTTCGGGGCTGGAGCCAGGACTCCATGGCTGCCGAGGGCCTCTGGATTCTGTGGAGGCTGAGAAGTGTTGGGACGGCTGGGCTCAAAGTAGGACGAGGGAAGAAAATGTTTCCAACACCTAACCATGGCAAAGAGGAGGACACTTAGGGGTGGACTGGAGGCATCAGCAGGGAGCAGTGACATCTGGAGCTCAGCAGGCGGACTCTGAAATCCTACATAAAATGGTAGCGGGCCAGGGGTGAGGAATGCCATGGGAGGAAGTGCCACCCACTGGCACGATGGGAGGCCTCAGAACCACCAATGGCCGCAGCGGAAGGGGGCCTTGGGGGGAATCCGTAAGCATGGTGATTCTCCACTGTCAGAGCTAAATGAGAGCTCACAGAACTGAGCGTCTGTGCTCAGCGCCTCACTTGTTCGTGTCAGATCTTGGCCATGTTGGAGGTGACCCTCTGATGTGGAAGGTGGTGGAACCATGGGCATTTAACCTTATTTGCATTGGAATTTCCAGTGATTGGAGCCATTCAATTGTTGATTGGGTGCCCATGAGGTGCTTGGTGCTAAGAGAGACAGTTGGGGGGCTGAGCATGGGGATTGCCAGCAGGCATCTCTGTCCACTGATAGAGCTCAGCCTCTGCTGCAGTACTTAGTCTGAGATCGTTTCTGGGGCACCTCGAGGTGCAGTGTTCGACTGGGGTCACACAGCTGGAGGTGAGATTTGGTTCCAGGTTTTCCTGCCCCTCTCCCTCCCCAGCCAGCAATCTGTCCATTGCCTCAAGGGAACAACAGAAAATAAAACTAGATTCCCCATGCAGCCTCGCAGTCTGTGGGGTAGACCGTGCCGCGCACTGTGTGTAACTCCAGAGACAAGTACTCGTGAGAGTGTATTGGAGTTTGGTAAGGGGAGATCTCCCTGAGAGCTTGAGAAGTTAAGTAAGAGAAAACTGAGCCCTGAAGTCTAGAGAATCCGAAGGGGGGTGGGGGTGGGGGTGGGGAGCATCTCAGATAAAGAGGAACAGCACAGACACAGAAGCTTGGTGTTGAGGGGAAGGGCTGGGGGCACAGGAAGGAATTGGTCGGACTAGAACAGACGCTTTCTGTGGAGTGTGGTGGGAAGTCAGTCCGACAGGAAGTTTGGGCCAGATCAGGAGTTTCTACTTTGTGAGGCAGGAAGCCCCAAGGCCCTGTTGTTGTGGAGCCCAAGAGTGAAGTGAAAATGGGTCCCGGCCCCCTGGCATATGGACTACAGGGGCTGGCCTGAGGAAAGCCAGCTAGGAGGTTTATCCAGCGTCATGTGCTGAGAGGAGCGAGGTGTGCTGGCCTTCAGGTCCGGGGATCTAGCTTCTGATGCATCAGACATTTGGGAGCTGGGTGGTGACAGGATTCAGTTTCCTTGTCCGAAAGATGTAATTAATGCCTGGTGCATTGCCTCTTCCACGGATTTCTTGGTGGAGAATTTTGCAGACCTTAAAGTGCTAGATGAATGTGAGCCACAGTAAGGAGGATCTAGGCTGGCAGGCCCTTGGGGAGGAAGAAGAAAGAAACAATGAAAAAATGCCCAGATCCTCAGGCTCCAAGAACAGTGTCCAGGGGCACCCTTAGGGTGGCGAATTAGGGACTCTAGGAGAAAAGATGGCATAGTGCATAGGGCAGCCATCCAACCTAGGTTTGCTTTGGTTTTTTAAATGTTTGATAACTATATTTCATTAGGTTTTCTTTGTAATCTTGTGTGTTTTATTTTATTTTATGCATTTCAAAAAAACAATATTCTGAGAAGGGGTCCATAGGCTAACCAAGGCAAAGAAGGAAAACAGCAAAGAGAGACACCCTGGGAGGGCACCGAGTCGGCATGAGATCTGTGATCACAGGCATGTCACCTTCTCGGAGCTTCAGTTTCCTTATCTGTGAAATGGGGGTCATCCTTATCCCACTGGATCCCGCGGGGTTGTCTGTAGGAAAGCACCTTACAAACCCTCAAGCATTATCTAAACGTGGAAGGTATTTGAAAGGCCTCGGAGAACACGCTTGGAAGCAGGGACTTGGGTCTGGGAGAGGTTTCTTCTGCATTGGGGGGGGGCAGGGAAGAGTCTGACAGTCCCCTTCAGCTGCTCTGTTATTATTGTAAAATTCCCTTGCCTTCTGTAACTTGTCGTTTGTAACTTGTCGTGGAGGATAAAGACATGGAGTCCTGGTTGTTGAGACTGTAAAAAGCCTCACGGATTTTAGCATCCGAACAAGAAGCCTCCTCCTTGGTTGTGATCCTGGGTGGGGGGCATTGCAGAGATGAAACAGGCTGGCCTGCTGCGTGCAGCAGCAGAGGCCTCTTTTAAGGAAAGGCAAGTTCTGGTTCTTTGAAAAGGTCAATGTTGTTGTAATGTTAGAGGAGCGAAGGACTTGGACAGCAGAAGCCTGAGTGATTTCCTCATTCTCTCTCTCTCTCTCTTTTTTTTTTTTATTTTTTTTGCAGCCAATACTGGCCCCTGTTTGTTCTGTTTTTCTATATCCTTTCTCCTATTCCATATTGCATCGCCAGAAGGTTAGTGGATGACACAGATGCCATGAGCAATGCTTGTAAGGAACTCGCCATATTTCTCACAACTGGCATTGTGGTCTCTGCTTTTGGACTTCCCATAGTATTTGCCAGGGCACATCTGGTAAGTGTGTCATAGAGGAGGGAGGGGGAGGGATACAGAGACAGAGAGACTGGGACTCATGGAGGAAGGGGGAGAGATGGATGGACGGACGGATGGATGGATGGATGGATGGATGGATGGATGGATGGATGGATGGA